ACCACACGCCCATGCCCACATACCCACGCCCACACACCCACACCCACGCCCACACACCCACACCCACACCCACCCTCATCTTGTATCTACTATTACCGAGAATGAATCATTTTCTTCTTAAATCAAATCAATTAAATTATCTGTAATGAAATATCAACCTGAAGAGGTGCCCAAGAAAAAAAAAATTTCACTAGTTATGACTCCCTCGCTGCAATTATGGTCCTATCTATAGAAATAAGCTAAAACTGCACTAAAAGTAACGCAAAACTACATATATTAGTTAAAGAAAGGCATAGTTGTAGAGGTAAAACCCTAATTGTAGAGAAATTCATGATTTTGACTGATAAAGCACCTTATCATAGATCATAGAGTTCGTAGAGCATTTTTTCTGAAATTCTCTACAATTATGCTTTTTGTCAACAATTATGGTCAATTTCTCTAGAATTATGCCCTATATCAGTGTGTCCGTCCTTAGCCTCAGTTAGAGAGATACCCTGTATATGTATTTCCGTCTTCACTCTCAGTCAGAGAGATGTCTTCTTTGTTTGTTACTGTAGAGAATTATAGAAAAATTCTGTAGAGAATGCATGGTCTATGAGAAGGTATTTTATGCGTCAAAATCGTTATGTTTTGTAAAATTATACTTTTCCTACTACAATTGTGATTGCTTATAGGAAATTTATCTTGTTGTGGTGTTAATTGTATCGTTCATATAGCCTGTTTATATGGGTAGGACCAAAACTGTAGAGAGGAAATCATAATTGGTTAATTTTTTATAGTTGGATATTGCTGAATTTTTAGTAGATCAGTTAATCAATATTTATCACTCGATAAGATTTTTCAGCAACATCAAAATACCTAGTTGTTTTAGTAGCTTGACTCACTCTCATTCTAATTTAGAAGCTTTAAAAACATTGTGTTCAAACGTCATTATCAATGTGGCTTTTATCTTATCTTCTATATTCCTAGATCAGACCAGAAACACACCTTTGTATATTCATTTTTGAGGTATATTTGTTTCATTTTCGATTGTCTCTTATAGAAAGAAAGATGAATTCTTTCACAAGAGCAATATTTATTGCTGTTGTTTGTTGCTCTTTTGTACCATTCACTAAAGAACAATATACACCAGATTGGACATCATTAGATTCACGTCCATTACCTGCTTGGTATGATAAAAGCAAAATAGGTATATTCATTCATTGGGGTGTATTCAGTGTTCCATCAATTTCATCGGAATGGTACGTTTTTTATTACTTGTATTGTGTAAAAACAAAAGATCTTGAGCTTTTATCAAGAATAAAACATGAATTATTTTCATTTCCACGTGTATAGGATGTGGTGGTCATGGAAAGGAAATGATCCAAGTTCTGAGGTTGTCGCTTTTATGAATAAAAATTATCCACCTGATTGGACATATGCAGATTTTGCTGCTCAATTTCATGCAGAATTTTACAGTATATTAGATCATTCTTCTCTTATTTTGTATCGAAAAATCATTTATCTCTAGATCCAAATGAATGGGCCGATATATTTGCTGCATCTGGTGCAAAGTATGTCCATTGTATTTATTCTTAGTTGTGATCATCTTATTTTATCTTTTTTAATTAGATATATTGTTTTTACAAGCAAGGTTTGCTTTTTTTTGTTAAACATATTCTCGTTATTATATTTAATATATTTATATCGAATAGCATCATGAAGGTTTTACAATGTGGCCTTCGAAATATTCATTCAATTGGAATGCTATGGATGTTGGACCCAAACGAGATTTACTTGGTAAATTTCGAATGACTCTCTATGTTTTCTA